AATTTCAAACAGCAAGTCATTTGGGATCGGATCAGGCCGAATCGTCTTCGCCCGAGTAGGGTTCTTGTTGGATGCTGCTAAAGTTGCCGCTTAGGATTTCTTTGTTGTTAAAAGTGGAAAATGGGTATTGTGGTTACGTTTTGGACAACAGAAGATGATAGAACAAATTTCCCAATTGACAAAAGCGGAGAGTTGGCAGATGATATTTGAGGGGGTGTTATAGATTTCATGATACTGCCGTTTTGATTGAAGGGATTAACAAGGGGTACTTTAGCAAGTTCGAAGATGGATTTCATAATGCGCCACCACCCGCTAGCCTCAAAACCATTTGGTATGAAGATCCTTTTCTTGGAGTTGTCCTTCAATTCTGAAAGGACCAGAAATCTACCCCTTGTGTTCCTACCCAGTGCCAAGAAAAGATGGTGGAAGCAGCCTTTGAAATTTTTCCCCAAAGTTCGCCCACCATTGTTCTAGTAAAAGTTGCTCAAGGCATTTAGAATCCAGGCAACTTCCTCTCTGCACATTGAGATGATTACTCTAATGCCACAACCATTTTCGTAGATTCTGATTCCATGAAGCTTTTGCCCATCGTAAGTGATGTCAAATGACTTATTTCCAATAAGAACAAATCTTTTGGAATGTGTTGAGATCATTTTGTGAGTTCGGAGAGGGGAAAACTGGTCGGTCGGACTGCTGTAGGGTTACAAGGGCAAGTTTTGCATTGTTTTGATGAAGGAGGGTGTAAGGATAGATTCTAGGTGAAGATAAGGGTTTGTTGTTCAGAGAAGATTTTAGAGAGAGAAAATTTTAGAGAGAAAAAAAAGATTTGATATACTTTTTTTTATGAAGGAGACCCAAATAACCAACCCCCAATAATTCATGTTTCCAAAGGATCAATAGTTTACAACCTATTAGTAAAATATAATGAAAACAAACTACTTATCAAAGACGAGCCCACAACCACACCAATTACTATGCCGAAAACCACATTGTTATGGTAGTCAATCCTCATTTTAATACAGTACAATAATTCCACCTGGAGTTAATTTTCTTCCAAAGACTTGAACCATGACGTGAGCTAATCCTTCTGCCCTCCAAACCCTATCTACAATTCCAAATTTTGCTCTCATCAATTTCTACCGGTATCTTACTAAAACGTTTATCTCCAAAGCCACTTCCTAAGCAACACTTTGTTGAAGCATGTAAGAAATCAAATTCTCAGGCCAAGCTTATCAGATACTTATGAATCGTTGAATGTTACAACCTTGACATGGAATACAACAAACTTTTTGTCAAAATTCATGATATAACCTACTCGATTAAAGATATGCTTGGCCTGCTAGTGCTTGTGTAGCAAAATTTTACAAGTGCTGAGAAATAAACCTTCAAGAAAAGCAACTTTAAGGTAAAAAGAGTACAACGTTATAAACAAAATAAATATATACATATATAGTGTTTAGTCTGGTAAAAGTTTTTTCACTATAAAAAGTAATCTTATATTTGATTATTTGTATTGTGAATTAATAATAAATTTTCACATGAGAAAAAAATAACTAATTACTACAGTTATTTAAATAATATTTCTCTCTTAAAAAGTATTCTAGTAATTTGAACTATTTATTTAACTTGAATTATTCAATTTATTTTGTTCAATATCATATTACTTTTAAATCATCATTATTTAATTTTTAAAATAAAAATTTATTCAAACAATTTATCACAAATATAAATTATTAATCCTAAATTACTATTGTTACTTATTTAAAAATATTAAATTAATAGATTAGTTAAACATAAAGTCATATACTCACTAAAGATACCATTCATCTGCTCCAACACAAGTCATGAATATTTATTTCCAGTTTTTAATTTTACTTTCCTCAGAAGATGAAAAAAAGATTTTGCTTTTCCTTAAAAGCTCTTCTACTTCTGGGCACTACTTTCTAGCTGCAGAGCCATAAGCAAATTCTCAACCAAATAGACACTAAATATACAAATAATATGTCCACATAATCAAGCTTGTAACAAGTATCAATATCTTTTTTTAAGATGCTATCTATGTTATAAATTCTTCAAATGATCAATGCATTTATTACAATGTGGTAGCTAGATTGGTATTGAGCACAAAAAATTGACCTATATGCAAAAGTCATGGAATTGTGGGATTGTTTGCAAGAGTACAATGCAGAGCTTAAGAATGTAGCTATACCAATGTTACAAGATGAGAAGCTTGAAGCTTCTCGTAAATCACCATTGGCACTAAAAGAAATGGAGGCTCCATCGCAGTTGTTTCCATCTATGCTGAAAATGTTGAGCAACTTCCTTCTTGCAATGATTGTTTTCTGCCTCATGCTCCTATTGGAGTTGTTTCCTTCCATAATAACCGCATTGAGAAGATTTTGTGTGATCACCTTGTCTAGTTTCATGATGTTTGGAAACTACAATTTTCGCTAACTTCTAGTTTTTCCAGTAAGACTATCATGAGAATAGACTTTTTAAAGAGCTATACCAATGTTACAAGATGAGAAGCTTGAAGCTTCTCGTAAATCACCATTGGCACTAAAAGAAATGGAGGCTCCATTGCAGTTGTTTCCATCTATGCTGAAAATATTGAGCAACTTCCTTCTTGCAATGATTGTTTTCTGCCTCATGCTCCTATTGGAGTTGTTTCCTTCCATAATAACCGCATTGAGAAGATTTTGTGTGATCACCTTGTCTAGTTTCATGATGTTTGGAAACTACAATTTTCGCTAACTTCCAGTTTTTCCAATAAGACTATCATGAGAATAGACTTTTTAAAGAGCTTGAAGAGAGTACACTCACGCCTTTGGTATTCTAATTGCTTTCTTTTTTCAAAACTCAAGGTTGAGTATTTGTCAAGAACAAAAAACTCAAGGTTGAGCTTTCACCAAATTGTAAGGATGCACAAGAAAAATACAATATTTTGGAATAAATTTAGTAGTAAAGAACTTTTTTTTAATTATGGTCATTATTCAATAATTTTAATCTATTTAATTTAGTTAAATAAATTAACTAAAGCTCAAGGTTGATTGCTTTGTCATTTCAAAAGTAAAGATTGAGTATTTGCCAAAACCAAAAAACTCAAGATTGATTTTTCACCAAATAGTAATGAATGATGCAAAAGAAGAAGACACCTACTCTTGTGGTGTCCTACGGCGTACAGGCTGTGGTGCATGGTATACGGGCTTTTGGAGATTAATTGGGTTGTTGTGAGCTCTGTTGGGAAGGAAATTTGGGCGTGGGATGGCCTGTGTATAGAAAGGAAAATAGCTAACTTAATTCTTTTTACTGTCTTTTGGATTCTTTGGAAATAGAGAAATTCTAGAGTTTTGAAGGGTTAGAGAAAGGGATAAAAAGGCTAAAAGATAAATGGATTCATTATTTTGGGACTATATTGTTAGGTAATAACATTATTAGTGATGTGGATTTTGGGAATGTAATAATACACTAACCCTTTTGTAAATCTTTGTACATGGGCAGTACCCCCGTTTTTTGTCTCATTAATATACATACTATACTTTTTATCTCAAAAAAATGATGCAAAAGAAGAAGAAACTAGTTTGGAATAAATTTAATACTAAAGAATTGTTTTCAATTATGGTTATTATTCAATAATCATAATCTATTTAACTTATTTAGTTAAACACTCCACTCATGATTGCTTTTTCTTTTTTTTTTATTTGGAAGGCTGTTAGTGGTACAATTCTCACAATTCATAACATCAAAAAAAGAGGCAAGATTTTGATCAATGGTTGTTATTTATGAATGAGTGAAGCAGATTTACCCAAGGAAATGCCATGTGTCATATCTAAAATTTTTTCCCAAATTCCTTAGTAGGCTACTCTACTCTAATTTATCCTACATCAATTAGTATAAAAAAGCTAAAACGCTCTGACACCTTTAAGAAAAATCTCAAAGACCACACGTCCAAACAATAACAACTATCAAGAAAAAGAGCGTAAACCTAAAAGAACCCATATTCGTTTGTAGTAAACCACCAACAACCATTGAGTAGCAGTTGACTAGCCACCACTTTGTTTTTAAATAAAGTTGACTAGCCACCACTTGCAACCTTAGACCGCTTCTATCCATCTATATCTGATGCCATGCCGCAAGAAACACCAGAGAAACGTGCCACTCACTCCCTAAGACCAAACTATCGTTGCTTAATTGGAAGTCAACACAAGACACATCACTAAAAGAGCTCCTGATCTATAAACCTCACCAGCAAACAAGTAGACCACCAAGATGTCGATAATGTTCAGTGACTAAAAGACCACTTAAGCCTCACATGCACATGATAAAGATTGAGATTCATCAAATCCACAATGCTTAACTTATTCCACTAAAATTTGGCACTCAAAATAGTTCACCCATATCGATTCAGCCTCTTTAAATCAGTTTTCAAACAAATAAACACTCTATGTTAATTGACGGAAGAAAAAATTAAATATATAGAATATTGAGGAATAGATTGAGCCATCATTTGTAGATGGTAGGCGAAGTAAATTTTTTCTTTTTTCTACTTAAGGACAAGTAAGCAGTTGATGTGGAGGAAAATTGGAAGCAATCTTTAATTTTTTAAGCCTGGCATGCATGAGAAACAAAGTTAAGAAGCTTTTCATTAATGAGGTTTGTTACAAGATCCTTGTTTCAATTCCTACAGTTGAACATTTCAATCTCCAGGTAAAACATCTTCTGCACAAGCTATCTTGGATTGACAATATGAGTATTTGAAGAGAAATGTTTCTTCATATAGCAGAAACTACGAAGTATTTGAAGGCTATACTTTAATCTAAACTTCTTTGAACTAAAAACTCTAGCAAGAAACTTAAATAAGTGCAAACCATAAAGGAAATCCTAATGAAACTAAAATTATAATAACAGACTCTAACCTAGTTCAATAAATATCAGGTTTGAAAGAATATAATTATAGTGTATTTAAAAAATCACATAATTAACAGCTATGAGGAGTTTACCGGATCAATTTCAACTACAGAACATGGCCTAAGGTTGATGATGTTGAGCATCTCAGCTTTTGCCAAATTATACTTTTTACACTTCTCCAAGAACTCATTGATGCATTCTCTTGTCTGACTACAAGCAGCAGTGTCAAACAAATAGTCATAAACCTGTGCCACCATTAGCAGAGTATATTTAACAGATATTCCCAACAATACAACTTGTTGAACATCAATGCTCTAATAAATCACCTTGTACTCTGATTGTGCTATAGAAGCAATAACTCGTGTAGGATCCCTAGAGGCCCCTCTTGAATTTAGAAAATTGAGCACCTCAAAATTGGTAAGTGCACCAGCATAGGACTCCAATCTGCAAAACAACTAACCTCTTGAAGAGAGAAGTATAAAAAGCCAAATTCCATTATTACAAGTAGATGAAATTGGAATAACGAACTAAATTGATCAGGTGCTGATGACATACATTTTCATCCCTAGCAAAAATTTATATGTAGTCTACTCTTTGAACTGCAAGATTTGGTAGTCCCCCGAAATCTACGAGCATGCAGTGTTTGAGATTCTGTTTTGATCAATTTCACCATTCATGGGGAGGAAAAATTTAGATATATTTTCAAACAAAATTAGAAGAATGAACAATGAGTAACAGAAAATTAGTTCCATTATTAGAACACATACATGCCGTGAACGCGATTAGGGAGATTTCTAGGGCTGTCGATGGAAGATGCAACCCCCAAGTTGGGCGAAACAAATTAAAGTAGAAACGTTAAAATGAATAAACCTAAATTCACGCAGTGAAACCCAAAACCCATTAAAAATAGTCAAATGTAATTAAGTTAATATATATATATATATATATAGACCTGTATCCACGATAAGATTTAAGAGTAAGGTTAATCGAGAATAATGAAATAAAGAGGAATATAACAGGACAAAAAAAATGGAAAAGTAAATGTAACGGATGAGTTAAAATGGGTTTTTATATAGTGAAATTGTTATAAAACCATTAAGGAGATGTACAATTAAAATTAAACCCAAATGAACGAGAGACTTGTAAACTTAAATAGAAAAATAATTGAATTTCATATGGAATGGCATCATTCACAACAAGGATTTATGTGTCGTTAAACATCACCCTTAAAGATGCATTGCAACCCTAAACAACTAAATAATGAACATGTAAAGTTGAAGGAAAGTGCATCATAGAATTTATCAATATAATTGTAATAAGGTGGCAATTAAAAGACACGTCATTATGGAGAAGAAATATGAAATTACAAGAAAAATGATATAATAATTAAAACAATAAAGGATACAAGGAAAGGAAAGAAATAATTTATAATTAATCATAACAATATAATCTGATAAAATGTATAATTAAATTGAAAAGAAGAGAAAATGAATAAATGTGGAGTATGAATTAAATGATATGTGATGTGTTGAAATGGGTATAACATTTAATCATTTATCAATGAAGAACGTATATGTATGGTCGAGATTTGATTATGTGATTGAGACCCTTTCTCGCGGATGGAAAATATTATTGAGAGTAATGTACATTGTACTTTTCATGTGATTCGATACATATGCAATTACGTACTTTATATTTGTTGTGGGAGCATATGTATATGTGATTGCAGTGTTTATACTCTCAGAGGGGCACATGCGTGAGTGGTTGGTTATGGTTGAGTGGTGTACTCCATTGGGAGAGGGTGTAATATACTGTATCATATTAAGGCAATAGAGGGGCAAGTGTGTGTATGGCTACTTACAGTCATCAGTAAATCTTAACTAATAGAAATATTATATAATTTCCACCATTATTAGAATTATGTCCATGTTGTTGAAGTGTTATTGATTTTTCTTATTTGATAATGATTTAAACGGTATCGTATAATGAGAAATTAGTGCCAACTAGTAATAAAAGAAATAAAATGTATGGTAATACATTTACATTACAAATTTTATAAATGATATTATTATACTTGTTAAAAGAAAGGCGAATAATTCTTACAGTAAGAGTCATAAAAATTAAAATCGGAAAGTGTTAACTTCTTTATCAATTTAAAATACTAACAGTAAAATCAATCTTAAGTGACAAAGATAAAATTAAATTAATATGCTTAACAAGTTTAAATAAAAAAACATAATAGAAAACATGTGAAAAATGTATCAATATATTTGAAAAATAAAAAAGATACACAAAACTATAAATATTTCGATGATATTGTATTTCAAAATAGCCTAAAGATAAGATAAGTAAGACCCACTTATACGATATATAGCTTATATATTAATTTGTCAAATAGTTCTTAATGAGCATATATAGCTCACCTATTTCTATTTCTTTCATAATAAAAAAAAAACAAAAAACAAAAAACAGATCATGATCAACTAGGACAATGACCACACTCCTAAAGCATGCGTAGTTTACGCCATCGTTTATTAGCATTGAATTAATCTTTTGAATTCTCAAGCATTACTTTATTTCTTAAATATTGAGATATTTTCATAAGATTATTTTGATTGCCAAGTTTTCTCTGTGTTATAAGATCAATAATAAAACATATATGTAATTATGTTTTTTTTTTCATGTAAATGTAATTTTGCACGACCACACGTTTAGCATAGTTTGACTTATGTAATTCAACTTAAACTACAGAATGTTTTCTTTAATCAAAATCAATATAGTATTCTTGATTATATCATTGTAGTAGTCTACTATTATTTATTATATTATTTTTAATAATTTCTTTTTCTAAATGTTCATTTAGTAACATTATTATGTTATCATTAGGCCTATCTAATAAATTTTATATTTTGTTTCTCATTATATTTTCCAATTAAAGAAAGGTGTAATAAAAATGTTACTTCAAAATTCAAGTTTATCCATGGGCATATCTGACAATACTAGATAATAGTTAATAGACTTTGAAAAAAAAAATTATTTAAATTGCTTTTATCATAAAAAATAGAAAAAGGTGAATAAACTCTTATTTTTTTAATTTTATTGACATTTAATAACTTAGAATATGATTTTCAATTTACAACAATATAATTCTCATTACGAGTATGTTATGCCGTAATAATAAATAAGAGTCAACAAATATTATCGACAAAAGTGAGATTATTCTTCCTCAATAGTTTTTTTTTTTTTCATGGCCAACTTTATGTTTTACTATCAAAATTCACACTCCCACCAAATTTCTAGATATTAGTAAAAAATAAAATTATAACATTTACAAAAAATGTTATTACTATAAAATTTTTGACAATTTTCCCAAAATATGATATCAATATAAATTAATACTCTTCTAGAAATTATGTCAAGTTAAAATCTCAAATACTAAAAAAATTAATATTTAACGATTTGTAACTCACCATCATCTATAATTTTGTAGGTAGAAATGGAATACGATAAGAGAATTAAAGACAACATTATTTGGAAAATAGTAAGTAAATTGCAATAATAATTGTACAATGATATTTCCTTTTATCATATGAATAATTTTTGCCACTCTCAACCAAACTAAACCACGCACAAATATCAATAAACTATATTTGAGAAACACCTCGAACATCAAAATTATAATAATCTAACACATTTCCTTTAGTTGTACTGCATATATACGGAGACATCTATATATCTATGAAAAACCACACAAATAAAAGAAGTGAAATTATGAACTACAGTTTTTCATATCTTTCTACTTAATCACATATTGTAATGAGACAAAAATTTTATTAAACCAATTTATATTATTCATATTATTGAATTAGTATCATGCTTAGTTAACATAAGAAATAAAAAAGTATTTTTCTCAGTTTTTATATCTTCGTTATTGGCAAGAAGATTTTTCTTTTTTTTTAATGATTTTTACACATGTCTAATAATGTTATAGTTCAAAAATTTTTCATTCTCTATCATTCTTGATATTATTCTAAAGTGAATACTCGAATTACTTTTTTACGATTACTGTTAAATATTTACTACACCACCATTAATAAATTTTTAAAAAATTTTTAATTACAAGTTGCATCTTTTGTAATAAATCGAAGTTTAATATAATCTCTTTGTCCCTACATATGTGAGATACAATTCTAACATTTTGTGTAAGTTGAAAAGATAATTTATTTAAACACGTATATTTTTGAATTGTATATAGAGATTCTTATAATAATTAATATTATGATATTCAATTTTACTATCTCGTAATTAAAATGTATTAAAATTTTTATCAAGCCATAGACATTAATTTTTATTATTATAACTATATTAAATTTAATAATTATTTCTTTGTTATTATTATGCAAACTTAATTATATTAACTACTATTTACATGAATAAATGGAAAACAATTCGCTGCCGTTTTATGCCCAGTCATTGTTTACACGCCCAATCAAGCTATAAAGTTCGGGCGTTGAGCACAAACAGTTTATACCTTTATTTAAACCCAATATTTTTCAAGCGTCACAGAACGCAGAATTTCAGTGGAGGATTCGCAGTGCCATAAACCCTAGATCCTAGAATCCCGAAGGACGAGAAGTACCACAATCAGATGTCGGATAGAGGCTATGACTCGGACGGACCCGAGGTGTTTACTCAAGAGCAGGTCTTTATTCATTCTTCATTATGTGTTTATGTAAACCAAGCAAAGGCGAATTTTATTTTGCGAAATAGGAAGTCATATGGTTTTGCTTATGGCTTGTAGGCTATACAGAAAGACGAGGAAATAAGGAAAGCTCAAAACGAAAGTAAGGCCAGGTGTGCTCTCTCGTTTAGTTTTTCCGTTTTTATTTAAGTATACAGAGAACTACGATTTTTTATCTGTTTATGTTTGGTAGCTAGGAAGTATTTGGATCAGAATCTACTATTGTCAGTATTTGGTGAGAAAACGAATATTTAATTGATTTTTAGCAATATAGATGTTTACTTTGAAGAGCACAGGAATTAGGCTTTATGTCTTTAGCCTGTTTAGATATCTGAGGAAGTAAGACACTCCTTTGGCAGGTGTAGTGAGACCTAAAATACATTATTTTGCAGCTACGTTTGGAACAAATAAATTACAGAAAAGAAGGAGAATTCATTTGCAAATCCACTTTTGTAATCAAGTTCTAAACATAAGAACATAGATTTCTAATGAATTTCAGAACTGTTTCTGGAATTTATTTGTTCCAAACATAGTGCCAGTCTGTAGGTGCTTCTATGTATAAAGGTTGCACTGAGAAATTATAGGGTTTCTTGGTTAACCAAGGTAGCATGCCTTTATCCCTCTCGATCTTTTAATTTTATAGAAAATATACTGTTAATTACTTAATCATTGAACTGTTAAGGTTTTATTTCTGAAATTTATTAGTCAAATAATGAAGGTATGGTGTGTTTAGAGGTGTTGTAGTTGAAACTGATAAGCACTGAAGTTTACTTAGATGGCTTTTTAATGTCAATGGGACGACTAAATTGATGTAAAAGATAAATTCTGTGAGATCAACATCTTCAATAACCTTCAGCTAGGCCCCCACAAGATGAAGAGGAAATATTGCAGAATAGGAAATTAAGGATTGCTAGGGCTTACATATATTGTGATTTTGGGCCTATCTAGTGAGATGCTCATAAACTTGTGAATAATATAAAAAAAATACCCCTTATAATTTTTGTATTTATCCATCATATACTTTAATTGTATTAATTTGAGCTTGAGACTAGCACAATGTACCAAATTGCACGTTCTGTTAACAAATTTTGTTAGCTTCAACTGGAATTCTACTTCTACATTTTTTTTTAAATTTTTTTTTATAAATTTTTTCCGTCTTTTCTCTCTCTATTGCTCCTCATGACTCTCCTTCCTTTTCCCAAGTGCTTTCAGCTGCTTCCAAGTATATAAGGTGCTGAGCTCTCATTTCAGAGTCCAATTATGAAGTCTTTGTTTGGTTGAGCTTTTTGCTTTTACTGTTAGAAACTAGAAGTCTGATTAGATGTAAAAGTCAATAGGTGCTAATATAGGTTTGGTGCTACTAGAGCTTTTTTAATCAATTACCTGTTTATTTTTTTTTGAAATAAGAGGAAAGTATTATTATGCTCAAGGTACCAAGGGGGTACCGCTTATATACAAAATAGTTACATGTCGATCCATTACCTGTTGTTATTCAAATTAAAGTTTTTTATTTTATTTTATAGTAAAAGTAAAATATTCCAAACATTTTTTTGTAAATTTATAACACTATATACAAATTAATTAATTTATTTTTAAAAAATTTATTATCTTTTAAGAATAATACCTTCGGATTATAAGTAATTGGTTGGATCATATTTAGGGACAGAGCTAGACCACTATAAAAGTCAGCAAAATATAAATTAAAAATAATGGACAATTACCAAAACATAATTAGATTTCTGTTTTTTTACAGGCATGTGATTGCCTTTTGATTATACATAGAATTAACATTTCACGATTAACAAACATTAATTCTGTTAAATTTGATGTAAAATACCCAGCATTCCCTTATTATTTTACCCCTTACTAAAATAACCTATGTTAATTTTTGTGTGAAATCCCTAAAAGAACCCTTTCTAATTTGAGCTTGCCCTGTTGGTGAGACAGAAAAGAAAAACTTAAGCTTGAGATGTTCCCTGTTGCTTATGCACGGAGCTATTCTTCTTTTCTTGAAATGAAAATGTTTAGCAGCCACTCTTGAAAAAAGACTTCCAGATTTTGTCTCAGGACTTCCAGTGACCTAGTGTGAGAAATTCCAGTAGATATACTTGCACAGTTTCTGCAATGTGAACAAGTCAACAACCAGCTATGTCTGCTACAAAAGCTATTACACGTCAAATGAGAGATGTTTTGCTCTAAAACTTTTGCTTCTCATGGTCAAGGACTATGATCTCTATTGAGAGCCAAGATAAATTCATTCTACCTCAGATTCCAAACTAATGGCATCTCCTTATTCTGCATGGTGCTTCCTGTGGCAAAGTTTGTTTAGGTAATAAAGTGTATTAGGCCCTTCTATCCTCACTTCATTGATGTCAGAAACTGAAAAATATAAATGATATGGAAATGAAAAACCAAACAGCTTGCCCATTGATGCTGACCACTAGTGATAAAAATGTCAGAGCTCCATCTGCAGCACCACCCTGAGATGGAACTCAAGACAATGGGCCAGAAAAATGAGTCTTCCTCAGATGGTTTAAGCAGCAGGTCAATGACAGATTTTCCATTTGAACCATTTGGGTGCAGAGATGGAGCATCATCATTTATTGCCCAGATCTTGTTCCTTGCAGATCCATGCTGTTCTAGTAACCCATAATTTGTGGGAGACAGAATTGGATTCTTCCCCTCCTTGCTTCTGGGGGCTTAAAGATGGCCTTAGTACTAGTAAATAAAAATTATTTTCCTTGCCCATTGCTCCAAGAGGTGACTTGACCTCCATGCAGGCTAGCTTTTGCTGAATACCATGTGGGTTTCGAAGGACAACCTGGTTACTGTCATTCCAATCTTTTATTATCTCAAATTATCAAAAGAAGTTTTATTGCCTGATTTAATAGTACATTAATTAATTTTTTCAAGGTCAAGTGGGGTCAATTGCACCCGCACTAGCAAAGAGGAGTCGTCCTTGACCTTTGCACTTTTACATTTATATCAATTTTTTATATATATTTTGAATTTTATCAATATGTGCATCAAATATCACGATATACGAAATTATGCTTGTTGTTTAGTAACATCAGTATCCCCAATCCATTTCATATGAAATTAAAGTTAGTCTTATTTCTATTGCTAAAGAAGTCTTTTTCCACACAATCCTCAGTTGCGAAATGCTTGCAGTTCTTAAATTTATATATATAATTCGAAATAAGAATTCTTATATTTATATTAACTTGCACTAGGATTGTCAAACGCATGATCTTTTCATCTTAACAGAATTTGAGATGATTCCTGTCATGTAGGGTTATTCGAGAGGGAAAAGCACGTCGTAGAATATGGGCTCAAAGGAAGACGCCACGCCCATCTGGAAAGGATGAAGTTCAAGATGTAGAGCCTGAAACTCACGAAGAGCCTCTGAGCAATAGGGGGATGCTTCCCAGTGATATTGTTGAGCTTCTGGCGGCTCGTGAAAAGTATTGTTTCTCTTTCTCTCTGTGTCCACATGTGCTTTAATAAGTGAGTTCCTAAGGATTTCGATCTTTTAACACAAAATTCTAACATAAGGACATTTCCTCGTCTATCTGCAGACAAGTTCTCTTCTCTGATTCGGAGGATGAGAAGGCTGAAGTAAAGCACATAAAAAGGAAAAAAAAGCTCAAGAGTGCAGGGTGGGCTCTTTTTCTGCATGACAACGGATTTCAAAAATTTCATATTTTTTCAGGCTGGCAACTTATATACTGTTGAATTTTCTGTTGCAGGGTAGAGCCTGTTGTTCTGAAAGACATACCACCTGCTCAGTGCTTACAGAATTCCTTGGAGTTCTTGAATAAAAGGAAAATGCAGGTCTCAAGATCATCTGCAGTTTTGAAGAATTCCAAACAAGCGCTTCGCCTTATTTCTAGCACTTTAACTAGGAACTGATAAATTGTGAACCTTCTAATTTTACTGTCATACCCAATGCAAACAAATGAATGCCCATATAGGTTTTGGGTGTTTTGAGGCTTGAAAGGGGTACTATAGTTCTTTTGGAATGATTGTCCTTCCTATTTTCGCCAAATGTTAAGATTGATTTGCAAGTAGCAGATCCAACAAGAGCATTACACCTATAACTCACTGTGGTTATCAGCTATGCCCTGCATTATTGATCACACTAACTTAAAGATTCCAATAGATCATTTAATAGTACAATTCTTGCTTCATTTTCTTTTAGTTGGCCTTTATTACATATTATAAACAGGCATGCTTATGTGTAGAGGCATTTCATCTTTTGAACATTTTAATATGCAAAATCTGGTGGCTGTGCCTTTTTTCCCCCTTATAATCTTGAAGGAATTTTTCCTGTCTATCCGTACTGCTGTTGTGTCAATGCAGACTAGAAAGGGTGTGAACCCTGGCTGCAAGGTTCCTCATGTTGGCACCAGGGCCAGGTCTGGGTAGTGATGGTACCAGTCCTGTGCAAAGGATGGACCTGTCCTATCGGTTTTCATTTAGTTAAGGTGGTATGTATATTTGCTCTTCGATATTGGAAGAACAGCTTCGCTCTGAGAAATTAGTGCTTTTATCTGTATCATTATGCATCTACAGTTTCTTGTTTGTATCATGTACATTTATCTCATCCTCATGTTTTTGGATAAGCGGAAAGAAATGATAGTAATATGACAGGTGATGTAATAATTTTAATTAACTCAGGATACAGGTTTTGAAGTATGAGTAGTTAAATACAATGATATGATATTTGGTGATGCAGATACTCCTGCCTAGTTTGTCTTATAAGTAATTTGGGGATGCAGCTTTGCGAGGCTCCTCACATACGTTTCCAACAAAGACCACTGTGAATCACATGGGGTTTTACCAGTGATTATAGCTCAGCCCATTCATGGTGAGAACACATCTTGGTGTTCCCGGCATTTGGGCTGGTAGTTTGATGCCATCTTGGGGTGCTCAGAGCTGCTAAGCAGAGCTTGGAAGGCGCTTTTGATATTGTTTATGGATCTGTGCTGACGAATTCGCTTGAGGACCACTTGCTTGTCCATGGTTTTACTTTCAGGAGAGGATTTCAACTGGAGATGTGTTGTGATGATGGGAGGAGCAGGTGGTTGGTTGTGTTTGTGATCTACGTTTCCTGCATCTGAGAAGGATGGTTGGGATCTGGAAATCATGAAAGCCATACTTTGATTATTGATTGAATATGTGGAGTTGGTTTATATAGTGGAAGGGTGGGGGAGGCGCTAATGATATACTGCCTTTTATTCTTGGGGCTCTTTTTCTAGCTTTCATCAGACCAGTGGCAGCTGAACTTTTAAACTACGTACGAAGATTCTCTGAACGGCATTGGAATTTATTTCTGAGAATATTTATTTATCACTGAAAAGAAAAGAAAAGGGCATCTTCAGGTCCCTATCAAGATTAAAATACTTCCATTTCTTTTATTGAGTAGGTAATTTATAGCAGGCAGCGTTAGAAATGAATGCAGAAATTGCTGATTCTAAAATCAAAGAATATTTAAGGGGAAGTAAGAAAGAATAAAGTAATAGTTGAAGGGACCGGTTATGACATGAGACAAGTAGTTCTACTTGCAAAACCACGGGGCACTTTTGCCGTTTGAGATCTAAACCAGGGGCCATCAACCTTGATGGCAACTTTGTTGATCTCTCTCTCTCTCTCTTGCTTGTTTCACTTTTGGCCTTTAAGAACGATGTTGAATCAAACATGTCGAGGATATAGATATACTCACACGTATACATTTTGATATTTAATTGATTGTCATTTTCTTGCCAACTTTTTTCCTAGGCCTTAATAGAGGACCAAGTTCATTGTCTCTCAGACTTGAAATGCTGTGGGCTGGGAGGATATCGGTTGTTTGCTTTTAAGTATTTCACCTAATACTAGATATTGTTACAAAGATAATACAATTATTGTTTCAATAATAATAACATTAATAATAATAATAATAATAATAATACTTTCAACAATAGATGTAATATTTCTTTTAAATTATGATTTTATTACAGTCATATAAATATTCAAACTTATAAAATAATGAAGGTTCTACAAAGCATATACAATAGAAACATGACTATGAACCACTGAGCTGTGGTTTATTAGTTACCTCCTCTTCGCTAGCGTTGGGTGAAGGATTGATTAGGGTTTTGATCCCCACAGTGACTTAAATATTAATAAGAAATAAAATAAAGTCAAAAAAAATTAAAACGTGGCTATGATAAAATTATAATAATAAAACTTCATCTTCTAGAAAACAAAATTTAGACATTTCATATTAATACAGTTGATATGATCTAAAAACATTAACTAAAATATACTGCATCATTAACAGTTTGTTTATATTTTACATTTACATACACCATAACAATTTCTTTTAAAAAAGAATGATATCATAATAATTGTATACTTACTAAATGAATAAATTTACAAGGTTAACCCAAGTACTAGATTTTTGATTAACAATTTTATTGTGTCAAATAAGAATTAAATCATTGATAATATTAATATTACTAATTAGCAAAAAGTTTTATTGGTCACTTTAGTGAGAATTAAGTAGAAATATTTACATTTTCTAGTACTAACATCCGTGGAGCTGCTTCGAAAAAAAAGAAAAGAATATGAGGGGAGCGATGGCATTTCTACAGACATGGAGAGGGAAGAACTCTTGTAAACGCATTATAATCGAGATACATTTAGAAAATATTACTTTGGAAGAAAACAGAAAAGGTCACATTCATTTGTCGTCCTTCTTGTCGAGAAAACTTAACAAGAAACCACTGACAATTCTTCGCGCTATAGGGTTAGGGATACAGTGACATAGCCTTCCATCAACATATGCTAAAATGCCCAACAATACAAATTTATTGATACCCCATTTTCGCATAAGCTTCCCCTCTTTCTTCTCTTCAGGTTGGTGCGCAGGGACAACAGTTATAACATCATCAGACACCAAATATTTATTTGCCTTGATGCTGGATATAAACTGATTAGCTTGTTTTTTCAACATCCGAATCGCGTAACTCACAAAGAAGTGTTCACATAGTGTCCGTAACATTGGTCCAAGTCTCCATTCCTGAGATGTTTGTTTTTCAAGTTTTGACAACAAACATGAAATTGAGCAAGGGAATGAACCCCAATGAGATTCAACTACCATGGTGAGCTTGACTTGACAAATGATCTTCCCTATATTCCAACTAAAAATTGCTCTACATAGTGATAAATAAACACACACATAGATATATAAATATATTAATGAATCATCAAAGCCTTCGGCTTCACTCAATTAATATTTGAAAAAAATGTAATTTAATAATTTTAAATTGAAAACAGAACTAAAATCTGTAATTTTTCTATCATTACAAAATGGTATCTCTCTCCTATACCAAGTAATTGACCGCACCTAATCGATTACAACACATACACTTAATTGATTAATGAAATCAATCATTGATTTTTTGCTATTAAATATCAATCGCATTCCCATAGCATTCGGGATTCACAAAATGATTTTATGTAATTAAATGTTAATTATAATGATGTGAGCATGAACATGGATGATAAAGAGAAGACTCCATCCAATGAAAAAAGTTAAGGCCATCCATTAAGGACAATTTGGTATCTTCAACTCTATCCAAGCACAAGAGGGAAGTGGAAAGAAAGAGGAGGGAATCGACTAAAAAGGAGACCTGACCAGCCTCAAATTTTTATGTTTCCCCATTTATTTGACCACAGTCTCTTTTAATTAAAAGAGAAAACTAAATCTATCTTACTTAGAAAATTAATTTTTAATTCTTGATTTATTTTCATACAGACTTCTTTAATTTGACCACAATATCTTTTAATTAAAAAAAAATACTAAATTTATTTTATTTAAAAAATTAATCTTTAATTTTTGATTTATTTCCTATGTTATTATAAATTAAATTAAGAGATTTTATTTTCTTTTTATTTACATATCTTAGCCTATAAATAGGCTACCAAGTCTTCATTGTAAAACATTCATAATTACTTCAATAATATTAAAAGTGTTTCTTTTCAAGAGAGGTTCTTCTACCATCTTATTGAGTAAGGAGTGAATTTACTCATCAAGATACGATCTTGTGATGTTTTTTCATTATATTTCTTTCCATTCCAGTGATCTTAATTCCTATCATTATTGATAACGGATTAAGTAGGGAGAGTTTTTATAAAATCAATCCATTTGATATATTTAAATGAAATTTTGTGAGTTCCTAACCACGTTGGTTAATCTTGGTTCTATATCATTTGGTATTAGAGATTTAGCTTCATCTAAATCTACTATCTTTTACATTTGCATATTTAAATTCTTGCACCGTTTATTTATTATTTTTTTGTTCATCTATTCAAAAAACAAAAAATTATCTCATAATTAATCCAAGCAAGACATAACGTTAATTGATACTTTCTTGACTTGATAAAATCATTGTTGAGTATTGATTTTTTAAATATATTTTTCTTGCAATTTTGTTTTCTATGCACAAAAAAAAAAGGAAAGCAAAAAAAAAAGAAAAGAACAAAAAAGAGAGAAAACAAAGAAAAGAAATCTTAATCAAGTAACATGCTCATCGGAAATGTACTTTTTGATACTCAACCATCCTTCTTTAAAATGGTGCAAGAACCAACTATTCATAAGGCAAAAATCCCTTTTTGTTCTACATTTTTTTTATAACCACATGCATTCACATTTACACAGTTTATTAAATACTACAATTTTTTATATAAACGTAACGTACATCGATAATAGATTGGTGAAAATATATTTTAGATTTTCTTTTAGGGCAGTACCGAATCCTTACATCTTTTTTTTTTTTATTCTCAGTTTCTTTTATTGTTCTAAGCTTTAGTTCATTGATCTACGCATTTAAATTGCATCTTAGAGCTTAATGTAATTGATAACACACTACCTCTTCCTCTGTGTGTTATACTCTTACTTTTAGTATTAGTGCGATATTTGTTCTATAGGACTTCTTGCGATGTCTTACAATAATACTTGAGAATACTTTAATTCAAAAGGATCTATCCGACACTCAACTTGAGATGAGAGATAGAAAGGTAAAAGACAAGAATGTGTGACATTATCAAAGAATAAAAGCCAAATGAGTGAAATACAAGAGAAATGATGAGGAAATTTTTTTTATCAACCCTTTTGTAGGAAATCTTCTTAAAATGTCGAGTGAACATCAAAG